TATAGCTGCTTATCGTCGCCCATGGCGTCCATGTTTAGCGAGTGTATTGGCGGGAACGGCATTATGGCCTTCACCAGACAGTATTGCCCGTTAATAACGGCCGTGTTTTTGCTGGTTTTTGGACTCGTTATGGCCAGACATTCGCTGTATTCACCAAAGTTTGATTGCAACCCTTCAGCAAACCCGGAGGTCAGGGGCCGACCCATGGAGTCGATAACTAGTGTAATAGTTTTTTATGTAGTGATAAACTTTTAATATGTTTTAATGATTGGTTTTAATGTAGATATACTTTAAATGTACTGTAATTTATGTTATGTAAAGTATTTAGTATTATTGTAAAGTAGTGTAGTTTTAATTTGTTTTATTAATGAGTTTCTCAAGGAAAGTATTTTTTATTTTATTTTTCTTGTAAAATATTCATTAATAAATTCACTTAAATTTTATTAGAAGTTAATTCAATATACGTTTTAATTATTAAATATTTTTCCTATGAATCTATTGATCTATTTGTTATTGAATTTTATTATTGACAACAAGTTGTGTAAATATTTTCCCAATCAATCAATACAAAAGACTTGTAATGTCAATAGAAAGTGAAAATATAATTTATTTTTCATAATTTTATTATTTTCATAAATTAATCATCAATGTAAAACATATTAATATTACTAACACAGGTATAAATATATAAAAACTTGTCTGAAATTTACATGTATAAAATATTTTAATAAATATTTACTAAATAATGCAAATTATTAATATTTTTATAACTATAATTTGAGTGACCCTGTCAACTTTTAAAATATACGTATTTAATCAGGGTCTTTTAAATAACTTTATAAATAGACCTGTTATGCCAGACCATGGTCACATTCTTGTCTAAAACATTTAATTAGTTTTAGTGCAACTTTTATTAGTTTTTTAATTAAGGGAAATTTTTGGGATAATAAAAACTAACAAAACTTTACATTAATACTTCAAATACAAATAACATGTATTTAATAATAATTCAGAATTCATGGTCATTTAAGGATAATATTTCAAAAACCTCATTAATAAAGCAATTATATAATAACGTATTTACTTTGTTATGTGATTAAAACTTTCATTAAGTTTTCAAAAGTGAAAGCAATTTTGAAAAACAATTTCTATTGTATTATATAATGTCGTAAAAATGTAAAATTAATGCTAACTACAAATGTGAGTTGCTAAAATAATTGTTTTGCATCTTGAGACCAAAATAGTTACATAGTTGTTAGCATTTTAGTTATTTAAAATATATAATTTTAAAAATACAGTCTTTAAATTATGATTGTAAAATAAATATAATAAAGTAATCAAATATAACAATTATTTATTGTTAAATAAAAACTAATATTCATACATACATTTAAGCGCCCATATTTCACCATTACCAATGGCCATAATGAGCTGGGTCATAGCGGTCAAACACTCGTGACCGAGACCCAGATCAATTTCGCTAAAAAACTCGATAGCCTTATACCTCTCTCTACTGTCATCATTAGGTTTAAACAAAAACTCTAAATTTTCTTTAAAAACTTTCAGCACATTTGACGTATCATTAATATGATCCACATGTTTCTTAATGGTAGCATTTTTACCACGCTCATACAGCACACGCCACTTGTCCAGGAATGTAGGCCCAGTGCCGGTGCACTCGGCCTCATCATCGCCCCCATCCCTACCCTCGCCATCGGCCCCATAATCCTCGTACTCGGTATCGGTGTTGCCATCGGTTGTGTTACGGCTCACAGGCTTATCATCATTGAAATAGTAGTCGCCGTCACTATCGCTATCAGTGGTGCTATCCGTGTCCTCCCGTTCCCAATCGCTGGGCTTAGTGTCAGCGCCGGTACTATCGGTACTATTTGTAACACTAGTAGTGATATCTTGTTGAGCACTGGTAGCTATAAAAGCCACTATCAATAGCGTTAATATAGCGCCCACTTTCACAGCAAACATATTATGTTAATATTTAGTGAAAAGTTTGTTTTCACTTGTTTTTTAAGATATTAGTTGATATTTATTATGTGTTTTTTGGCCACAAAACCAGTAAAACAAGGCACAGATAGGGGACAGTTGTGTACGCACTGTTGTACATTCAACTAAATACAACTATGTAATGATTATTTAGGCATATAATGAAACTGAAAAAGTTTTTTAATGCCATAGGCTTTTCAATGCCATTCGTGACATCAATCGTTGCCACTATTTTACTGATGATAACCTGATTTTTTGCATTCAATTTATGTATAAATTATATGTATATTT